AAAAAAAAAAAAAAAAAAAAAAAAGAAGAAGAAGAAAGAAATAGAACTTCTAGCTGGAGCAGCGTTTCATTTGGACTAGAGAGTCACATCCACAACAGCAACAACAACAACAACAAAGGTCTGATGATCTAAAGAATGGGTCCGGTCAGATCAAGCACGACATCCACTCTTACCTAACCTTACCAGGATCAAAGATAATCAGATAGACTTGAATCAGGAAGTGAAAAACAAATGAAGCAATGGGAATTCAAGGGAGTAGAGAATTGCAAGTGAGGCAACGGACCTACTGTCAGGGTTTGCAGAATAACACTGTCAAGATCCACTTGAAAGATGAATGGTTCATACTAGAATGCCCCTCCTTTCAATCCCGTCGTACAATTGCCTAGACGACACTAGAACTGGTAGCAAATAAGTCTCTTCTAACTGGGATAGCGTCCCACTGGGTACACTGCATGCCCCCAAGTAGGCCAGCAACCCTACCCTCTTCCATAAAGGAGGTCTCTACTCCTGGAGAAAGAGGTATCAACAGTGCAACCCAATGTCCAGCCCTGACGTACCGAAAAGGAGAGGACAAAGCATCAGATGCACGCTACTCAGCTATAATCATCATCATTGAAAGAATAAGCATTGTGAATCCAGATACGTCACATCCATCCAGCTGGCAAGAGAGCAGTCGACAAACGCATCCACATCAGCCAGAGTCGCAGAGAGTAGGAAAACAAGCCCAATGCATACAGAAAGCAATGCAGCACCATGCACTCAACCATGGGCATCCCTCAGTCACATGGCACCTACCGATGCTGGCCGGACTCTTGCGATGAAGAACAACTCACCTCACCATCTCACATATTCCCCTGTGTCTCGCCACCTCATGCAATCACCTCTCAAACCTGGACAGGGTCAATGTCGACCCTACATGCCCTAATCCAGGTGGGGGCAGCTCCCACACCTCGCCACCCCACTTCCACCCTATTCCTACCCTAATCCGAGTTTAGTTGCCTTAATGAACTCGGATTAGGGTTAGGGCGACAAGACAACCTCCAGGCTCTAGCCAGAAAATAAGTCACGCTCTGATACCAATTGTTATGGTCCTAGGTATGTTTACAGTGCAAAACTTAAACAAAGACAATGCCATCAATTGCAACTGAAAATGAAAGAGATTGGAAAGAGATATATACAAAGGGGGGAGAAGAAATGAGAATAGAAGAAGAAGAAGAAGAAGAAGAAGAAGTTAAGGGTAAAAGAACAGCAACACACTGTCACACGGAGGACAAAACCAAGATTTTTGTCAAACACCGTCAAAATTACGCATTCCCTCGACTCGTTTCAGCTTGTGCATGGCAAGCCTCTTCAGGAGGATAATCATATTAGTGAAGACACATAAGTATCTTCAGCATCTTTATAGCTCACAAATGCACGATAATCCATCAACCCAATCTTTCTCTATCCTTCCACCTTCTATACGCCAGCCTATCCACCATCAACCCGTGCATACCCTGATCAGATCAACCGAGTGCGCTTCTACCCATCTTCGTATCCCTTCCTTGCATTACCACTAAAGTGAGAAGAGCGCTATCTGGGCGTAGTCGATTCCTAAAGTCTGTAGGCAAAAAAAGTAGT